CTAAGCCTTTTTGAACAGTCTTAGTGACACACTTAGACAAGTCTGTTCCCTTGAATCACCACTTACACTGTAATTCATGAGACTCATTTCTGCTCCCCTGTTCCCCTAAGCCAGTGGTTCTCAACCTGTGGTTTATGACCCCTTTGTAACAATGAAAATACATCCTGCATATCAAATATTTACATTAAGATTCATAACAGTAGCAAAATTATAGTTATGAAGTAGCAACGAAAATAATCTTATGATTGGGGGTCACTACAACATGAGGAACTGTATCAAAGGGTTGTGGCATTAGGAGGCATTAGAATGGTTGAGAACCACTGCTGTGAGCCTTTGCATTGCCTAGGAAGGATTCATGCTGCATGAAGGAACCAGACTACTGGTGCGAGGTGTAGCCACAGAATTGTCCTATGTGACTATGCCTTAATGTGGGATTTGTAGCACGCAGTCCTGCATTTTCTGTTGCTTTATTGCGGGAAGGCTAGCTTCCTGTTTTCCCCTGCCCTCACTTGCCTGGAGACAGGTGGCTTTTCACACCTGTCTATGCGATTCTCAGGTAGCCTGGAAAGGAAATTGGGTGGCTACACATGTACTGTTTCGCAAAGCGACTGTACTGGTAACTCCTGGATCTTCATTTTAGAAAGCTCTACTGGTTGGATTCCTCTCTGAAAGGCCTCTTTGTCTCTGACCTCAATGGTGACCGCCACCGCAAACTGGCCCAGCACTGCGTGGATTTGAACAACACCTTCTGCTTCGATTATCCCAGAGGAATTGTTCTTCACCCTAAATATGGGTATGATCTCCTTATAATCCTGGGCCTTTCCTTCATGGCCTTATACTGCCTCTGTTATCAAGAAGGCTGTTCACGTAGCTGTCTCAAGGTCAATGCGTTGCTGGGATTTGTCTTTTATTTTTCCTACCTGGCAAATGGGTGAGTGTAATGGGCAAAAGCACAGCTTCTTCAGATGACATTCATCGACTATTCTGCTTTCTTTGCCATGACACACCTTTTCACTTTTCAAGTCACATAGTTTGGCTGTATACAAAGAAAACTGTGGTTTAAAAAGATCCACTTCTTTACTCTCCAGTGCCACTGAAGTCCAGTTACTCCTGTTCATTACGAGCATTTTCCATATATTCTCCCCTTTTCTCTTAGAGATTATTTCATGTTCTGTTTTCTTTCTGAGAGGCTCTGTAGAATGTAAACACCGTTTCTCTAAATGAAGAAAAGGTACGTTTTGGCTACAGCCTTCTTTTGGCCTCAAGGACTGACCTTTTTGCTCCAACAGGTATGTCTACTGGACAGACTGGACTCACCGCGCATACATTGGGAGAGTAGGCATGGATGGGACCAATAAGTCTGTGATTATCTCCACCAAGATAATGCGGCCCAATGGCATTACCATCGATTACACCAATGATCTACTGTACTGGACAGATTCCCACCTGGGTTATATTGAGTACGTCCACAGAAAAGCTGTTTATTCCAGCCTCAGGGTTTTTGCTTCCTGTCTTACTAGCATTCTGCATCTTATAACTGACCTGCACATTGGAAGTCACTATGAGGTCACTTCTAACCAAAACTGCTGGGCTCTATGGTGTGGTGTGATAGAAATTGAATTTCAAAGCCATACGGGTCACGATGTGGCCTGGTGCTTTCACTTATTGTTTTTTTCCTCTAGAAAATGGGACTACTAATCTCTCCTTTGTGGTAATCAGCTTAGTTCTCAACTTATCTTAATTTTCTTGTCTCTACTTTGCTCTCCCTTCCAAATATATGATTATTAGATCTTAGTATCTCAGAAAGGGAAAAGAGAGGCACATCTATGGTTAAGTGCAGTAGAGTGTGTGAGCATTAACTCAATATGATAATTCATTTACATCTTTCTGGTAGGATAATTTTTAAAAAGTATGTTAAACATAGTACTGAAAAATAGTAATTGTAAGAAAGATAGTGCATTTTATAAATCAATTTGTATATTTATTTTGAATTATGGCTTAATTGGATTATAGTAATGTTTTCTGGGTAAACATTTATGAAGATATATCCAGGGACAACCAGTTGCTTTCAAATGTGTAGAAGTACCATTAATTCAGTAGAGCTATTTCAAAGGCTTTTAGAAATTTTGTCTTTTTAATACATTTATATTGCTGCCAAAGTCAGTGCAGACAGTTTTTACAGTTTTCTAACCCTTTATTTTCTTGAAAAATGCCATTGGCACATATGCGAATACTCTTTCTTGCTGTGTTTTTCGCAGATGTAGTTAATCCTACAGCTCTTTTGGTGAATTGGTTCATTTGATACACTAAGGTAGCTCTTAATTCTCATTGCAGAATTAGCACAGCAGATACTAACTCATTCTTAGCATAGAGACCAGTTTTGGTTAGAATAAGCAGAATATTACAACTTCAGGTTTATTACAAGTTGATACACTAAAAGTGACACTCTCGGCCCTTCCTCTCTTGAAAAGAGTATCAAAAAGTTGTGTTAGCTTCCCATACAATTTCATATTGAATTAGAATTATCCAGGGGTTTAAAGAAGCTTTAGCATCTTCCTTTTCTTGTAGATTATAATTTGGTTTTGAAAGCTTACAAGGTTTAATTAAAATGGGCAGTGTCCATCTAGATGGTGTTTTCTAGAGCATTTGAGGCAAGAAATAAATTTTCTAGCTGATTTATATTGTTTACACTTTTTGATAAAATCTGATCCAGATTATTTGCATGGCTGGACTCAAAATTCAGGCAATAAATTCAGTTTAAAAGTCAAATCATAAATGAGGCACTGTGATCCGGGAGTGAATGAAATCCTTGATATTCATGTAGCCATGTTGACTTGACCTCTTAGATAGGTAGCAAGGCCTGTGTTCCAAAATACATTTTGTGGAATACAGAAAGCAATACATTTTTGTAGAGCATCCGCCTGCTTCCTTGTGCCTCTTGGGATGCACCAGCGTATCATTAGAGTCATTCCTTTGGTTCTACTCTTGACAAAAAGTAATCATAGAGGTATTTGAGATCTCTGCGTAGAGGTCATAGAAGAACTGGAAGGGAAGGTCTCATGACTACTTTTTGGTCTATGATTTTTGAAAAATCAGTTGGTGAGTAAGTTCTGGTCATTTACCTGCATTCTTATCAACAGAGGCTGAGCAGGTCTTCAAGTTTTCCTATGGCTTTTGTAAGTTCCTATAACTGGTGATAGCTAACATTATCAAGTTTCTCAGTTGCTAGCTCATTCTACCTTTGGTTTGGTTTTAGGATCTATTCCAGAATTTTTAAATGTTGTACTGTCGGTATTTTAGAAATGACCTCTGATATAGACTTACAGTAACGAATGGGACATTAGAACTAAGAGGACTTGGAAATTTGGCTGTGGGTGCTCTCCATCATCTTGAAATCAGAGAACTTTCTCTGGAGGGCTATTCATCTAGAAAAGTTTTCAGTAATTGTGCCCACAGCATTACGGATAATAACATGCAGATGGTGTACACTAAGTTAGGTCTGTCAGTTGTCTTCCCCTCGGGTTATGCAGAGACCCTAACTGGCTGGTAGAATAGCTTCTCTCCTGAAATCTTTGTGAGAGGTTAGAATTCCAGCTTTATATTGTTGCTATCCTCTGATTTCTCCCAGTGATTTAGGAAGAAGGATGTTCACTCCAGGATTTCAGAAGGGTGCTTGATGAAGAC